ACAATTGCGGAACTAGTCAAAAGTTATACCCATGCTCAATCTCTAAAGAGATGAATATTACTGGAGTTTCATTCCAACACCAAAATGTTATTTTAACACCTCCACACAATTTTAGATCACCAAGTGATCATCTTCAAAAGGAAGATCAAACTAAACTGTTCAAACTAAATAGTTTAGCTTGGTCTTCCTACATTCATTACCAATTCTAGGTCCAACAACCCTTTGGAATATCCACTTCTTTACCACAACTACTTGACACATCCACACGACGTGAACGTACTTCGAGAAGGTACGAAGGCGGCAGTCGCTTTCGGACAAACGGAGGCTCTGAAGAGATTCGGCGCGCGGTTCCATTCCGTACCAGTACCGAAATGTAAGCATCTGCCACAGTTCACTGATGAATACTGGAACTGCTACATTCGACAGTACACATTGTCTATCTACCATTATTCGTGTACAGCAAAAATGGGACCAGAAAGTGATCCCTATGCGGTGGTGGATCCGCAGTTAAGGGTAAGTAGTCTACTAAAAAGCCAAGTATTGCAAAAATTATGTTTCAATGTTTTTTCCGTGGCCCAACATACGATATTTTGGAAGACTATCTATCACGTAGGACACAAAAGGTCAAAGTTGATAATAGCCTGAGTGAAGCAATGAAAGTTAAAACAGGAGTACCACAGGGAACAGTTTTAGGTCCCATACTATTTCTTGTTTACATTAATAGTATATGTTCCATCAACAATTTTGGGGGTCATCTCATATCATATGCGGACGATACAGCACTCATATTCACAGCTAGTAATTGGAACGAAACGTGACAGTTTCTGTCGATCGTCCAAGTCGTGGGACACCCACGTCCTAAATTTTGCACTACAAAACACGTGCCTATGAGTGGTACATTGAATTTGGAAGCTGTCGGGATATAGACGAAGATTTGCCTCGCTCTCATCGGCTATCAACTGAACTCTATATCTGAAAATCGTCATTCGAGACTGAGAAAGCAAGATGCTAAAATATTCACGTCTCACGAAGCAGTTGGTACCATTTCAAACGATTTCTAGAAATGAAACGCTTTACCGCTCGACTAGTGCTAGTTCGATGAAAACATGGTCAATTCTGACCCTACATTCATGAAACGCCTTGTAACTGGTGAAGAGACATGGGTATACGAATTTGACATGCAAATTACGCAATAAGCTTCAGAATGTGTCCTTCCAACTGATCCGAAACCGAAAAAAGGTCGAGTCAATCAAGAGTAAAGGTGATGTTGATAGTTTTTTTTTTCAATTACCGCGGTAACGAAGATCCCATACCTAATAAAACTCTTTTCACACTCTTGTTAAGAAATGGTTCGTCTAGATTTCCCATTGCCCTACCCTCATGCGGCTTGTGAAAACAGCGAACTGGGAGCAATTCTGTCCCACGCATTTCAGTCATCTCCTGATGATGCTAGATTGCTTAGCGAAACGCGCGTCAAAAGACATCGTTTTTTTCTGGCCAGGATAAGTGTTTTCAGTAGCTTTCTTGTTCATACATATTGTTTAACTCATCAGTTACATTTTAGAATTTTAAGCGTTGTTTACTGGTGACCAATATTGTTTTTGAAATGAGAATTGTCATTATAATCTAAACAACAGGTCTAATAAATCAGAAAACAAAAGGCGAAGTCTCCTAGCCTAGTTGGGTTCAATAGAGTATGGAATAACTTCAGGAATGAAGAGTCCATCAGTAATCCTTGAGGATCCAAAACCAAAGAAGGCTCAGGATGTGGAGTGTACTCCAGATCATTAAGCCTAAGGATTGAGTGGGGAATGGGAAAAAATACCAGAGTGGTTCAAACAGAACTACACTGACAGTAGACAAGCTCTGTCAGCCTTGAACAGACATCGTGTTACCTGAGGGCTAGTACTAGAGTACCACCAAGATTTAGCCAAAGCCTCGGTAGATAATTACATTATCCTGAGGTGGGTTAAAGGACACGACAGGAGTAAAGGTAATCACATTGCCGACTCTTTAGTCAAGAAAGCGGCTAGACTAAGAATTTCAGGACCCAGTGGCACCTTTGGCCTGATGACTTCGACAATTGCGGAACTAGCCGAACGTTACACCCATGCTCAATCTCTAAAGAGATGGGATGGAATCAAAGGGTGCAATCTTGCCAGGATCCCCCTGGGCGACCCTGGGAAGCTGGCGCCGAAGAAATATCTGGCGATGACTGGGAAAAATCTACGCTTAACAGTAGAATTTCTGACTGGCCGCTGTCAACTAAGAAAACACCTCCATAATATGGGGCTAGTGGACACATTATCGTCAATAAGAGAATCTCGACCTACACCTGCCGATATAAAGGAGATGACTCCCAGTGATCTTTCCACCTTCCTGGAAAGGACAGGATGGACGATGACCTAGGAGAACAACTCCTCGGGAGGATGTACAATGGGTCACATGTGGCCTAAGTGCTGTGGGCCTACATTCAGCCTCTCTACTCTTCAGATACAGATACTAGTGACCAATATTGTTTTTGAAATAACAATTGTCATTATTATCAAAACAATAGGTCTTATAAATCAGAAAACAAAAGGCGAAGTCACCTAGCCTAGTTGGGTTCAAAAATGAAGATTCCATTAGTAATCCTTGTGGATCCAAAATCATTTCTATATCCAGAGTAAGGTATACGTTGATGTTTTATAAAGAAAAAACTCTATTCCAATTATTTCAATTTCATGACTAACAGACACTTTCGAAGTGATTTTACCTTATTTCAAAAAATCAATTGACTCGATCAAAAAATACTCCCTACTTGAGATATATAATTGAAACCTCAGAGGTGGAATTAATCCACTCAAAACCACTTTTCCCACACCTGAACAAAATACTCACACCCGACGCGCGTTCCGCTAACCAAGTTGGCATCATTATGAGATGACTAGAACTATTCTATCATCCATTTGGATCATTTCCTAATGTTTAACCCTCTCACCTTATCCATTCGTGTTTTAAAATGTCAAATTTCAATGTGTCTCGCTACTACTTATTTTTCAACTGAACTGTCTACATCGAAATGGCTTATTCTTTCTAATTGATAATCTCCTTCAAGAGCGGTGTCAAATTCTCATCCAGTTTCTGATTTATCGAACCAAATCTTCTTGCCATTAAAGATTGGGTGTTCGCGCCACTCTTTAGAAAGTTCACCTCGAAAAAATCTTGGGTTGTTCCACATTTGCATTTCTTTTTATTTTCAGGTGTACGGAATATCAGGACTAAGAGTTATAGACGCTTCCATAATGCCCTTCATAACAAATGGCAACA